TGTTAGTGAGCCAAGAAATGGAGACCACTCTTGTTCAGAGTTTTTAATGTTTGCCACATTCTTGGTAATATCTTTTATTAGAATAGCTAAAAAAAAAAAAAAGGATGGTCATGAGGGAGCCAATGGGTTTCCACTGATAGGCTCTCTCTCTCTTGTACCTGTAAGAATGTGAATACACAAAACAGGATGGGAGAGAGGATTGTTTGTAACTACCCAGCTGAATTCTTCCCTCTGAATAGCTGAGAGTTCACAGGTGAAGAATTTGCCAGGGGGTTGTAGTCTCTACGTCATTCTAAAATTCAGTGATCACAGAAAAAAAATTTTTTTTTTCAGAATGTCTTCCGCAGCAGCATATTTTTATTTATTTATTTATTTATTTTTTCCACAGCATCATATTTTTAAAGCATGATTAAATGCTTACTTTGCCAAATTATGAAGATGACCTCAGACAAGTTAATATTTCTCAGTCTTATCTATAAAACAGCGAAAATAGTATTTACCTCCCTTAGGCTCCCTCACATAGTAAATGAATAATATATGAAAAAGGCTCCATAGAAGAGCTGCTTCATTGAATGTTAGGCCTTCTTGGTTGTCCTCCAGGTTTTAGAGGGTGATTTGAGAGTTAAAGGTGACATCATAGTTAATTTAAAACAATTAAGAGAAATTTATAGAAGGGCCAAATCAGTATAAAATTCATATTATGAAACATGTAGGTCAGAAAGGCATATATAAAAGGTTTTGCTGGCTAGTTTGTTGATACTATCATCGCAGAATGATTAAACACAGCCAAACTAAACTCTTCTATGTCTTAAGGGATGCACCCTTGCCAAACTTTTCTAATGTAATTAGAGAAAGGGGAAGTATTGTCCTGTGCCTCTCCTCTAAATATGGGCTTGTAATAAAAACTCCAGTTACATTATTAATTCTAATCAGTCTTATCAGAGACATGAAGTTCAATAGTTCTGAAGTAATTCCAACAAATTTTAAACTGCCATCTTGAGTCATGTGGTCTATACAGACTTGTGATGAAATTGGAATGATAAAATTTCTCAAGCTCCAGATTGGTAATCAATTCAATATATATTGAAAAAAAAATTCAACATGGGAAATAATATATATATATATATATATATATATTCTTAAAATCAATAAAAACTTATCAGTAGACAAATTTATTTTCTATCATGTGAAAAAGCTGAAAGATCAATCAGTAAAATGATACTGACAAAACAATTAGGACTGTGTCATTTTCTAATGTGAGGTACAATAACAGTCTTTTGGGATTTAATATTAAAAATAGATGGATATTGATGATTTGCTTATCTCTCAGCCTTCTTCACATGACAGTGGTGGTAATAAAATTAAATTATAAATAAGAAAACTTTTATGGACAATAAAAGAGAGTATAACCAATAACAAGAATAATAATGATAAATTGTCCTAATCATAATTCCATATTTCCTTTCTTTTAGAAGTTTGGAAACTTTTGTGTGTTCTGAATAGCATCAGATCCTACATTAACTGAAATTTAAAAGGTTTATGTTATCTTATAGAAAATAATGTTCATATAAGTATAATAAAGATAATTAAGTTGTTCCTTCATGGTAGAACATTCACTTATCACGAGGCTCTGGGTTCCATCTTCGGCACTTCCAAATAAAAGGAATGGGATTCCCAGTCCTCATGCCTGTTTGTGAGAATGATTGAACTTAGGCTTCATGATTATGACCTCATACATGTTATATTGCTTGCTTCTGTTGCTCAAATATAAAATGTGATCTATCCTGTCTTTTTTTTTTTTTTTTCTCCCCTCACAAAGATTCATTTCAGAATTCTGGGCCAGGGACTTGGGTCCTTCCAGGACCCACCGGTGCGTGCTGTGCGTGGTCTATGGGGCCTGTCCATGGCAGCTCTCTTGGAGGTTGCCGCTCCTCACCCCCAGTCTTCTCCCTCCAGGTGATGGCCTTTCACTTTCCAGCCTGTAGAGCCCGTGCTTCTCTTTAGTTTATGAACTCCCTTACCATGAAGTCTCACATCGCTGTTGTATAAATATAGACAGCTTACCAAAAGATCATTGTGAGTCCTCTGACAGAGCATTTGGAAAGTCAGGGCAGCGACGTCTACTTTTAAAAATCTCATAGGGGTTCTTTTTACTGGCCAAGTCTAACTCACAGTGATTTAAGGAAGGGCATGTGGAGAATGTGGCTGCAACCTTGGAAGTGAGCATTGTGGAG